GAGTGAAAGAGGGGCTGAAGACGAGGGCACGTTTGCTAAACAGCAGCTCGGTCAAACAAAAGGAAAGACAGGCAGTTTTCTTGGACTCTCGTGGGACAAACAAGAAGATCAGATAAGTGTTACCATGCCTCAATATGATGCAGTCGCGTCAAAAAGAGCATTGTTGCGAAATCTGGAAAGAATTTACGATCCCCTTGGTCTCGTGGCGCCGGTAACTATCAAGGGAAAGTTCATCTACAAAGATGTTTGCAACGTGAAGGTGTCTTGGGATGCACCGTTACCCCCACCACTAGCAAGCCAATGGACACGATGGAGGAAAGAGTTACCAGCCGAGGTCAAGGTGAAAGGGCTCTGACATCTGCCCAAGAGAAAATTGAAAGAGTTGAGCTCCATGCCTTTGGCGATGGAGTAACAACGGAGTGTGTGCAACAGTGCATGCAGTTGTGAGACAGCCATCAGGGGTGAGCCAGGGTTTGGTTACTGCAAAGGCTCGACTAGCGAAGCATGGGCTGACCATTCCGCGATTAGAGCTGGTGTCGGCACATATAGCAACGAACCTTATCACAAACGTAGAGAAGGCGCTTGAAGGGTTTCCTGGTAACGTCGCTATGGATGGCTGGATAGCTCAGTGGCTCTCCATTGGATAAACGGTGGCGGCGAGTACAAATAGGTCATAGCAAACAGAGCGATGAAAATACAAGAGCATTCAGGGATCACTTGGCGCCACGTACCCACCAAGGAAAATCCGGCAGATCTGGGAAGTCGAGGAGGGCAAGTAGATGACAGCAAGCTGTGGTGGCAAGGACCAGAATAGCTTTCAGACAAAGAAAAGTGGCCTACAGACATCGTGACAGGCCGCACTCCTGAGAGCCAAGCATAGGCTAAAATTACCAAAGAACTTTTAAATGGCGCCACTGCGACAACTGGGTGCCTCAATGTTCTGCTAGGGAAATTTGAAATGACCAAGACGTTGAGGATTGTCGCCTGGACCGCGCGATTCATACGGAATTCACACCTGAAGAAACAAGAAAGAATGATGGGTCCATTGACGACCAACGAGATTAAAAACCAGCACCTGTTTTGGACCAAGCGCCCTCAAGAGATTCAAAGCGATGATGTGACAGACGATCGACAAAGACTGGGTTTAAAAGAAAACGACCAGGGGATACTCATATGTCGAGGTCCTGTACAGGTACATTACTCGGTATACCTGCCTGACAAGCACCCCTACACAGTGAAACTCGTTGAAGACGCCCATCGCTGTACGTAGCATGGATTAGTCGGTTTAACAATGGCGCGGATCAGAGACCGTCATTGGGTGCAGAGGCTCAGACGTCTGACCAAGAGTGTTAAAACAGATAAAACAGTGTTATGGTTGTCACCGTTTCCAAGTCAGAGCCGCTGCTAAACCACCTCTAGTCCTTAGAACTATCGTGCGACCGGATACCTTTGACAACTCAGGAACAGCTAGACCCGGAGGTTCGAGAGTTCAGACCTACCCGTGACGCTGCAATGGCAGCGAGAGAACGAATGCAAGATATTGCTGACAAAGAGCAAGCGAACTGAACATTGAACACCGACTCCGTAGAGAGTTTGAGAATCATTTCGTTTTCCCTTTTTTCGTTTTCACTTACAAGAACGTTTAGTTTGATATGGTTTCTAGAGATAAATGCAACACATGTCACCTAAAGGTAGAGATATGGGGGAAAGTGTCGGAACTAATAACCAATCTCCTTTGTAAACATGATTTAAGTTTTGTTTGATTTTAGTCACGTGATTTTAAAGAAGTGTTAAGTGATAGATTACACGTGAGAACCTGATAGCCCTGAACTTTGGAATTGAAAGCGAAGCTGAAAACCTCGTGATTGATAGCAAAATAGTAGAACAATAGGAGATAGTAAAAGAGAATTATTTTGTGATGAGAGTGTGCTGTACTGTGAGGAAAGGAATAAAAACCTTCTGTGAGTGTGTTGGATGGCAACTATTTTGAAGGCAATTCCCAACAGGGTTGGTGACAGTTTAAAGAAATTTAAGACCACGTTGAATTTAAACAGATTCGGACATATGAACGGACAAAAACTTGCACAACGCTGTATTTCGTTTACACGGAACCCGCGAACAGCGCAAGTTTTTGAATAACAAATCATACTAAAATTTGATACAGAATTTGCACGGTTCCACAGTGTAAAAGGGTTGCATGGGAAAAGCCTGAATCATTCGTTGAAATATTTGTCCAGTCCCGTGTAAACGGGATCTAAGAGAAATTTTTCATTTTAACGTACGGGTAATTTTATTGATGAATGAAGCTTCATCCGACTCAACCAGCCCTTGCCCTTTTGGGTACTGCTGAACACATTTGCTCCACTAGCCCATTTTTAAGTGAGAAAACGTCACAACGAAAATTTGCCATACCCGATTAGAGGTCAAACGCTGCTTCTCGAAACCGGCCTTTGCCTTTCAAAAATGCAACCTCACCGACTGGGCATAGTTTGATATCGTGTTGACATGAGAGATAACTCTTGGTCCAAGATAGGCTCAACAGCGGTTGTCTGTTAAAATAAACAGCTGGCAGAAAGAGGCATCTCAGAAGAAAGCTGTCAGCCAAGGACTTTAGCCATTACCCTTCAACCTATCGTTTTCGGTAGTTCACCCAGCCTAAAAAAAGTTGAGTTTCTTTGTGCTGAATGTTCGTGCTCAGGCTCTTGGGGGTCTAGGTTGCGTTCTCTCGACGTCGAACGCAATAACATCTTTTTACCAGTCAAGTCAATTTTCATTTTTTTTTTCAAGATATTCGTCTTCAGGGTCTCTTCTTTCTTACTGTCTTTTTTAGGTTTTCAGCCCCTTGGCTAAAACAAAATGCTTGATTGTTTTCTTTGTAACTGTCAATGGCGGGTGCACGACGCTTTAAGTGGCCACGTGACGTAATCTAACCAATAACATCGCGCTAAAATTAAATGCTAGGAAAGTAAAATTTTGCTTATATAAGTGTTTTTGATACACCTTAAACTAGAGAAAAAATTACGCCGAACAAGGAGGCTAGCAAATTAAAAGAAACACAAACCTTTCAATAGTCTTTAGCTTCTTTCTTCTGTAGCACCAGACAACAATAGCCACGGACAGTAGCAAAAAAGCGGAGGTGATACCAAGTGAGATGTAAATGACTTTAGAAATGGCCTGGGTCGGATTTTCGGGTTCAGATATCGTGGTGTTCTTAACTGCAAGGAAAGGTATTGCATTATAAATGGCATAGGAAACGTGTGAGTATGCGCTGAATAAAATAGGTGCATTATCTTGCGAAAACTTACAAAAAGGTTCTTAAAATCTACTTCGCTGCTAAGCATGGCTATTCCTCCTTCATGGATCCTTGTTAGAATAAACTAAGTTTTCCCTGTTTCTGAGGAACATGGCACGGCGGACCTAAAGTAACAATTTTTAGCTATTTTGTGTCCATTATACTTGAGCTTACTTACCACTATTACACAGATCTCCTTCACAACAGTGCAAATGATGATCATCAAATTGTCCGCATTGATCAGCGGATATACAGCCTCGAATGGTGACTTGTTCGCCGTTTGACGTTGTATTGTCATATTTGAAACAAAGGTCTTCTGGAAAAGTACAGCTGACTTTAATGGGAACAGAGGAATTCCTGTTAGGGTACTCATAACAAACAGTACCTGAAGATAAATGCAGAATAATACAAGCCTTTAAAAGCATCGAGTATTTCTGACAAGGTCACTTACCTCGAAGTCTGGGGCAAAAGCGTGAAATTATAACATGTAGACAAGCCTAAAAGCAGAGCTTTTACTAAATTGGAAGTCATTCACGAAAATTTGATAGACTTAACCTGAAAATACTAAACAAAAGCTTAATAGGAAAAACATAATGCACATTTCGCCCAATTTTAAAGAAAAAGTAATAATTTTCATACAATGTCTTATGTGGTTGTTGCTGTATGAATAAATAATTAGCTAAGTAAAATAAGGTTGTTAAGGGCTCTCGTATTGAGCTTGGGCTATTACGATAAATGTGCTAAGTGTAACCTTCTCGATGTGGATGATAGAAAACGTACTTGTTGTTGACGCTGGCATTTCACAAATATAGTTCTTTTTGTCGTTACATTCCCCCGCCTTCTCTATCATTCCAGTGTTTGTCTCCATTTGTAAACAATTCGAATCACCTTTTCGGCCAATCCATACGTGCTGTATAAAGGAATTACAAGGGATACAGAAAAAATATTAAATGGAACAATTTACTACAAAAACCACAATTAATCAAGGTGGTTGTAAACAGTTTGATAATGGGAGTGTCATTCAAGACTCATTGAGGCTCATATTTGGTATGGACAGAATACATTTATACTAAGGACAATAAATTTGACATTTTAGAAGTAAGATTTCGATCGTTTCCATGGCGACAAGGATGTTTTGAAAAATGCCNTGTTAAGGGCTCTCGTATTGAGCTTGGGCTATTACGATAAATGTGCTAAGTGTAACCTTCTCGATGTGGATGATAGAAAACGTACTTGTTGTTGACGCTGGCATTTCACAAATATAGTTCTTTTTGTCGTTACATTCCCCCGCCTTCTCTATCATTCCAGTGTTTGTCTCCATTTGTAAACAATTCGAATCACCTTTTCGGCCAATCCATACGTGCTGTATAAAGGAATTACAAGGGATACAGAAAAAATATTAAATGGAACAATTTACTACAAAAACCACAATTAATTAAGGTGGTTGTAAACAGTTTGATAATGGGAGTGTCATTCAAGACTCTTTGAGGCTCATATTTGGTATGGACAGAATACATTTATACTAAGGACAATAAATTTGACATTTTAGAAGTAAGATTTCGATCGTTTCCATGGCGACAAGGATGTTTTGAAAAATGCCTATTTTTTTCAATTTGTTAAACCTGGTTTTCACTAGCGCATAAGCGTCAGCAAAAGGACATACGCACGCGCAGAATGGCATATTTGACTCAATTCTCGATACCAGCTCTCCTCAACCCAATGATAAACAAGATGGCGGACGAAGCATCCGCCATATTGCTTTTGATATGTTCGCATGAGGTCTGGGTCAAAGTGGCCTACGATTGGTCGACGGCCTTGTGCTTATGTCGACCCAGTTTTCACTTGTCAAAGCTACGACATGGGCATAAGCCAAAGCACAAGAAGAACGAACTTGTCCGTTTTTCTTGTGCTTATGCTTTTTGTCGACCCAGTTTTCACTTGCTTACGCATGTGCATGTGCCTATGTTTATGCTTATGCGCTAGTGAAAACCAGGCTTAACCTCATGATAACTTCTCGGCCAAGAATTTTCTTAAGCCTGGTTTTCACTAGCACATAAGCATAAGCACAAGCACGGGTGTAAGCAAGTGAAAACTGGGTCGACATAAGCATAAGCATAAGCACAAGAAAAACAGACAAGTTTGTTGTCCTTGTGCTTATGCTATGTTGTAGCTTTGACTGTTTAAAACTGGGTTGACATAAGCACATGCGTAAGTACAAGGCCGTGAACCAATCAAAGGTCACTTTGACCCAGACCTCATGCAAACATATCAAAGCAATATGGCGGACAAAGAGTCCATCATCTTGTTTATCATCGGGTTGAGAAGAGCTGGTATTAAGAATTGACTCAAATATGCCATTCTGCGCGTGAGTATGTCCTTATGCTTGTGCTAATGCGCTAGTGAAAACCAGGATTTTAACTTCTCAGCCAAGACTTTTCCAGGAATGATATTAAAGGTGATGTTGTTTCGTGAGTTGTTCGCCTGATGTAACTAACACCACTGTCAACATGACCGTATGGGGTTACTTAATTATGATCACTTACAATCAAATTAAGTTAATAATTTTTGTCCAGAAGGGCATATATCGTTATTCAAAGAAGATAGCATTTTAGATCAAGACGTCTCAGCTGATGAGAGTCAGAACAACTGGTTTTCTACCAAATTCACCAGAATTGCTTGGAATTTATGTATGTATGAACGATAAACTCGCATTTTATAATAATTCACTTTGTGCGCTCAGCTTGCCAAAGTAACCTGAGATCAGGCTCAATTTTTGTTTCGCTTTGTAAATAACATTCCGGCGGGCAAGGCGAAACAAAAAGAGAGCCTGATACAAACTTTCTACGAAACGTCTGTCGCCAACATTTTTGATTGATTGACATTTGTCGAATCAGCCAACCAAAATTACGTCAGTTCCTTGTTTTTCTAATATGCAAATTTTCTATACGTGGGAAAAATGCAGACTCGCTGACTTAAAAAATAGCTTTTACCTTTTAATATTTTCAACCAAATATCTTCTTACGAGATTAAAGGAGATTTCGAAGGTTATTTCTATTGGCGCAGAAGGTAAAAAGTTTTCGAAAAGACGGCGACACCAGATGTTCTAATCTTAATGTTTTGGCTAGGCGCGCTCGAATTTAACACTTGCAATTTGCGCATTTACTAGAGAAACAAACGTCTAAAAAATATATATTTCTTTATAAATCCATGTAAACATTATCACTTTGGAGAGCTATAAGCAAAACGAAAAACAATATTACAAACACACTTTGTAGTTCTCCTTTAATTAGTTGTGTTCATGTTTTACTGCAGGTCTGAAAAGCTCGCTAAATTTTATTTTATGTATCGAAATTAACAAACAGCAAATAGCCAACGAACGAAGACACCAGTTTTCCTGGTTTACTTTTTTACAAAAAATGAAGGCAAACAACAAGTGTGTTACCTTAAGAAGAGCGCCACTAGCTTTTATGATAATGCCAACAAAAATTCCCTGAACAGTGATCATGCGATGTTTTTCGTCGAATACTTCACAGTTGGCGATTGAGGTTTCTTTGGCAATGAGCCTCCGTTTGCCTACCCCGCTCAGAAAAGTCTTTCCCGGCTAAACTTTCAAATAAAACCACTTCTAAGATGGACAGTATTTTGATCTGCACTCGTTTGTTGGTAAATCAAAAAGCACCTTGTTAGCGGCCAACACTGAACTTGCAGAGGGATTCAACTCCGCGATACACTCACATTAGTTCCGTAAATAAAGCAAATCCAGAGAAGATATGAACAACCATATGAATTTTCTGAATTTTCATGGTACATATTAAGGCATATTTTCCTACCATAAGACCATCAAACAAAAACGACAGCACAATCGACCTTTCTCCGCAGATGGCGGATCATTCACGAAAACAACCACAAGAGGAATAAGAGCTTTCAACTTCCGGCATTTCCGACAGCCAATCAGATCTTGTGGCATTGTTCTAACAGCCAATCAGCGATACGGCCAAAATCTGGCCGTAACTAGCACAAACGTGAGAGAGTTTGGAAAAGGCCCAATTTTAGCGGTGGCCGTTAGGGAGAATATATGAGAACGGCTAAAATTGGGCCTGATCTCATGTTATGCCAAAGTAACTGAGGATGAGAAACGTTGTCTTTTGAACATTTGCGTTTTTCAAGATACAAATATAGATGAAAATGGATTTAACACTGTCTACGATCTACATCACTGATTCAATTGGGTCTGTGACACGAACTACACAGAAGATGTGATTTCTCCGCATTCCTCTTTGAAATCTCCTCTTATATATATTTACCCTAGCCTTAAGCGTGCTCTATCAACTGCATAAAAAACCTAACATCTCAAGTTAAATGCCCATGTCCTGTCCTTACACGTTTCCTACAGATGTGGTGGGAAGAGTAATTGTATTAAGAATCAGTTACATTTACCTCGGATGATCATCTCCTTATACGATTAATTCTTGTGACTAATATGTTTTTTAATGAATTAATGTTACATGGAGAAATTTCATGCTGATCATGCGATCATGAGGCTCGAAGAGTTAATGACTCGATACTTACATCTAAGTTGGTTTTCTTCAGACCGGTGACCTCCATGAAGTGAATCAAAAATCGTTTTTGATTATCATCATCAACCTTTACTAAATCACCTCCGGAATCAGTACACCCTTGTCTTGCACCTTCCCAGGTACCGTTTCCATTTTCCTTGTAGCAAGATACTCCATTGAAAAACCAACCAGCAGAACAGGCCAATGGACCTCATTAGTGAAACATTTACAGAGCAAATAGTTTGAAACCAATAAGAATCATGGCACAGCTGTAAACGTTAGGGAGACTGGGACGAGAATCAGAGAACAAGGAATATAATATTCCAAAATTTCCCGGTAATCAATCAGTTGTTATATTTCATTTTTTTAAAATAGAATACAAGAAAAATTAGGATCTTTAATATGTGTTTGGGTGTGGTAATTCTAACATGTAAAATTTGCATAATTATGGGCGTGGCTGGTCATGTGTCAAAAACTGCGTTGTAGCCACCATAAAAGCTCCTTTAACCCAGCAAGGTTATAATTGAGGTTAAAATGACTGCAAAACAAAACGAGAAAACAAATGGAAAAAGCCAAATATCAGGGTGGAATCTAGCTTGCCAAAAACTTAAAGGCGTAAAGTCTATCTAAAGTCTGTTTAAGAGTTTAAGCGCCTCAACGGATCAAATTTTACCTGTGCTTTGGTCGTACCTGGTACGATTAGAACTTCCCCATCATTTTCAATGTCGAGTTCCCACGCAGGAACAACTCACCTTTCGGTCTCTTGCAGAAGAGATGTTTATTTTCCTTGCAACATTCGGTGAGGTTCCAGCCATTTTTCAAGATTTCGACGCATTTATTTTCATAAACAATTCTCGACATGTTGAGCCACTGGACAGAAACAGAAATGTTAAACGATTCTCCATTGGTCCATACATATCCACCCTTTTGATGCCGATACGCCAACCCAATCCAAACAGAAGTGCGGTTTGCGTCCTTGAAAGCCGTGTCATGGACAAACTTCTTTTCCTTTTCATTCGATATGCTTACCAGGTCTCCTCCAAACCCAAAACATCCGCTTACTGCTGTTGACCAAGCAAATCTCCGCCGATAACCGAGCCTATCCATAACCTTGTAGCAAAAGCCTTCAAATTCTTTCCACGTTTCTGGGCATTCCAAAGCTAAAGAGATCAAATTGTGACTTAACGATAATGAACAATGTAAGCCAATTATTGAATGAGGTCGGTCAAGGTCGTTGTAAGTGTTGTAAGCCGTGGCCGAAGGCGGAGGATGATAACGCGAGCTGTGCCGTTAGCAGCCGTGGGTGTCTAAATGCGCCGCCCCTACTAGAGACATTCACGGCCGCTCCTAAAAAGTTTTTAAAAAAACTAACATCGACCATAGCGCTCGAATGACCAAATAGCGCAAGAAATCTCTCAGTTAACTGTCAAATTAAAATTGAAATTGTTAGAAACCAGACGGACATACTTACCAGAATAACGCCTTGTTACCGTCAAGAGGAGTGACACCAACAGTGCGAGTGTTATCATTATGGCATCAGATCTGGGAAGAACTTACAGTTTAGAGACCGGTCATTAGTCAACAGGGCTACTTCTGGTAGTAACCAATCAGAGCGCAGAAAAGACAATGGGGATATTGTTTTTTGGGTCACGTGCCTCATTAGCGTTGAACACGTCATCAATTTGTTCACGTGACCCATTTCGACCAATCAGAAAGCAGCATCCCCAACTGCTCCCCAGGTCACCGGAAGTGAAAGGACAGCGCGACCAGAAGTTAATAAAAACACACTGTATTTCTGTCCAAATCATATTTTTTGTTTAATGGAATGTCGAAAAGTACATTTTTACATACGGGACATGTGTGACATCCTGGTGACGTCACGCCCTTGAATTGGTTTACAAATCTAACAAAAGGTCTATTTCATCCCCAATCCTCTCGTAGCCATAGGGATGACTCGATTTGGTCGCGACATCTACCACCCGCTTGTCGAAAACCAACCCATACTGCTTTACGTGCGGAACGACTTGAATTTGTTTCTGTTCCTAATCCCTTCGAAAATGATAAGGTGTGACTATGTTCAGAGTCCTGAGTAGTCTCTAATTCCGAAAAAATATTGTCTTTCATGGTTTTAAAATTTAAGATGGCTGATCCGCGGACGTTCAACGTGAGACCGCGTACTTTGCAGACGACTTTGCTTGCACGTGCCCATAATTCTTCGCGCCACCGGAAACAAACTCTGTGATGACATCTCCATCCAGTTCACCTGTCATATCGCAAAAAATCGCCGATGGCGATGTAAGGCTGACCGGGACGCCACTTGTCTACCACACTGTCGGGATCATAGTAAAGGACTTCCTTTTGAAGGGTTTCGAGGGACTCGTAGAGTTTGAGCCGAGCACGACATGTGGTGTAAGCCGCCATGAAAATATTGGTCTCGGTCCCTTTGACCGCGTTCTTTTTGACACTGTTAAAGACGGCCTCCAAGATGTCGTCAGTACACAGGCGGAGAGTTCTGATATTGAGAGCCGTAGCGGCGATCAGTGTGAACAAATGAGAAGGGTCTTGGACGGTGACCGTGGTGGAGTTATTCAGTCTTCCCATTGCCACCGTCAATGTGAAGGCCACCAACGATCATGGCCGTAATTGGTGTCACGATCACAGCCACGGGGAAGGCGGTATCTGACACAATTGTGCTCGAATACGTGCTTGTCAAATGAGTGGCTGGCGTCGACATTCCAGTGTGTTACCGACTCTCTCCCAAGCGAATGCCCAACGGGTGCTTTAGCAAAAACGATGCGATCGTCTTTTGGACTACGTTTTATACAACCAATGCATCGATGACAAAGAGGACGCGTTTGCTGAAGGCAAAGGCCTGGACTGGATCCCCGATAATTGCAGTGAATGCCGAACCGTCCAACGAATCTTTAAACAAAGTGTCACCTACCGGGAATGGCAGGAACCCCCGATGTATGCTAATAACGAATCGCACACCATGTGGGCTTGGAATCCCTTGCTCAAGAATAAACATTAATACAGCCTTTTTTATTTCATAGACGATGCCGCTGACCATTTACACGGGAGGCGCCAAAGGCGTGGATACACATGTGGAACATTTATGTCACAAGTATGGTCATTCGTATGTGGTAGTCATCCCACCCTGTCACCCTCGAGCCAAGTCCCTCGCGCCCTTGACCCAGCCCGACTTGGACGCCGCCATGCCTATTGTAACTCGAGCCGCATTTCATTTAGGTCGACATGTCTTCTATCCCATCACCCTCCCGTATTTACAGCGTAATTACAACGTGATCAAGCCTGCGTCCTTAGTCTTGGCTTTGGGGTATTTTGACGAACTACGCAAGCATATCTTGGGCGGCACGGGTGGAGTGTGGCCATGGCTCAAATCTTACTGAAACCCCTCTATGTGTTTGATTTGGATATGGAATAGTGGTATTGGTGGAATCCCACTCTGCAACAATATCAACCCCGTGAAGGTATGACCGAAGAACAGACAAGCCTTCCCACGTTACAAGACAAAACAGCCATTGTAAGCACCCGAGAAGAAGACGTGGCGGTCTATCCCACGTTGGACGCTTTATTCCAACGCTCATAAACAAAACATTAGGACACTGATACACATGTAACAGGTTTAATAAAATCTCAATGTATATTCACAACAACAATGTGTCCCATAGCTTCCAGGACCTTCATGACTCTGTCTAATCGTTTCATCACTTTGTCAATAGGGTTATAGGTAGGCTTCCTTCTCCCGGTCATGACTGTGGGCCGTCCAAGGGGACAATTGGGTTTTCTGTCTTTGAAGCGATCAATGGCGAAAGCCATCCCCTCGTTCATGAGGTTGTCCAAGTTGACGGGGCTGCGAGCCATTTCCACTATCATACCAATCTGCAAAAAAATAAACACGATCTAAGTTTGTTGTTCAGCCATGAACAAAAAAACATGTCATAACCACTCTCACTTACGGATAACTTGTGATCGAATAGTCGATGGCAGTGGTGACAGTGGGATGTTCTAGGCGAATGTAGGCAAAACACCACTTGGTTCCACCATTGATTTTCGCCAAGGTGTTGTGGGGGGCCTGTAACATCGCATTTGGGCAACCCTTTGAATTCCCGTAGCAACTTCTTTCGCTTGTCCATAGTATAAAAACACTCTACCCAGAACATGATTTTGACTTCCACTTCAAAGGGGACCTTTTTTCCATGGACGAAAAAAGTGTACACATGGGGGCTACCGCCTATAGTGTCCTTTCGACCACGTGATCCCCACGTGATTCCTCTCCACCAATCAATTCCCTGGGATGACTCTCTAAAACACGTCGCGCTCCTAGTCTTTCACTCATTCAGCACTGCTCAGCCAAGCTGTTCAGCCACCATGGTGCAGACGTTAGAGAAGCTTGTTTTGACAACCGTGCCTCTCGTGGTTCTTTTGGACCTGCAAAAAGCGGTCTGGCATCTCCCGTTAAAGAAGATTTGCCTAAGCAGCCTGTTCAAACGCAGCCGTACCACTGAGTTGACCAAATTGTTCCGGACGCTCCCTTGAGATGACCCTGTGGCTCGCGCGTTGGATTTTGAGGTGCATCGCCGTAAAATGGCCGGTAAGTCGTGTCGCTTTTTTGGTTGACAGGGATGGGGTCCATTCCTTCCCTCATACCCTTTTTTTTCTTGGATTGTAGCGGTTTTTCCCGATTTTGACTTTCGTCGGCAAGTCTCTTGGCCCACCCACCTTTGCCTTTGTCCTCGACGTTGTCGATTGAATTGGGTGGCTCGTTTTTGGGTACCAATGTGTTCGTGTCGATTTTTAACCACCCTAGAAGACAAACCTGTGTGCCACATTTACCAGTGATTGCTCGCCCCACCCATGGTTCTGTGTGTAATCATCGTGAGCGCATGATGGATGGCTACACGTTGGATGATTTGATTTTTGGGAGCGGGGAATGATCGTTAGTGGTGGTGTATGTTCGCCGAGCCGACCCGACACAGCAGGAATGGGATGATTGGCCCCTGCGCATGTCTTATCGCATCAATTCATTTCTCAGGGCCAATGGTTCCAATCCTGAGCCTGATTTAGCTATTTTGAATTCTTTTTAGGGACACATTTGCTGTTCCGTACCCACAAGGTTCGCGTAGATTCATTGAGAAGGTTGCAATTGATCTGTCTACGATGTTATTTCTTTTAGGGTTGCTTTCCACGTTGAACCAATATGGCGCCTGGATCAAACCCTTACAATATAGACTTCACCTTAGTACTGTTCAATGTTTGATTCGCCTTTGTAATTCTTTTTAGGGAGTCATTCGATTCTCTGTACCCACAGAGTTCATGGAGCCTCGATTGAATGGTGTTACGGATCAGTATTGCAATGGTACCATGGTTCAGGGGTCCCCGTTCCTTCCCTGCGCCCATTGCAATTGATCCGCCAACGTTGTTATTTGTGTATTCGCCGTGTCACGCATTTAACTACTTCTTATTACTGGTGTGACATGTTACATGATTTGGGTTATACTAGATCTTGAACATGTTTCCTTTTTTTTCAGATTGTCATTTCGTGCCACGGACGATTTACCTTCCTTCCCTTTTTCAGGCACTCACCACGTGTTAAGACATAATGTCTTTCGAGGAAGAAACTTCACGGGTCAATTGCATTTGGTGTGCAAGTTATGTTGGCTCCATGTACGACATATTTCCACAATATGTGAACCCTGTGGGGGCTGTGAATTTTTGGACAATATAGGTTTTGAGTTGGACAATTTGTAACACCAAGAAGGGGGAGGTTGCATGGTGGCGCCACCTTTTCCTGGTACTATTTCACTCCAAAAAATATGTCTTTTTTAGTCAATAGACAGTCATTGGATACTTGAACGAGTCATGATTTTTCAAGGCTGGCCCATAAAAGGGAAACTTACTATTGTCAACCACCACAGATGGACCAGCCTATTACATCTTTTAAGACCTTAATTTTTTCCGTTCATAGCAACTCATTGGATATTAAAGCACTTTATCATTGGGTGGCCTTTACAGGATCTTTTTTGTGCCAATATACCAACCATTTTAAGGGCGCGACGTCACTAGGACGTCACACATGTCCGTATGTAACCAGGTCATTGAAACCAATTTTGTTTTTTCTTGATAGTGAATCATTGGATATTAAACCAGTTCATCATTCGTAACGGTTGGCCTTTGACAATCGTATTTTCTGCTTAATTCAAGGGAGTGACGTCAACAGGACGTCACACATGTCCCGCATGTTAATAAGTACCTCTCGAGAAAACATTAAACCGAAAAAACATGATTTTGACCTAAATACAGTGTGTTTTTATTGACTTCCGGTCGCCCTGTCCTGTCACTTCCGGGGACCTGGGCAGCAGGTGGAGATGCTGCTTTCTGATTGGTCGTAATGGGCCACGTGAACAAACTGATGACGTGCCCAATGCTAATGAGGCACGTGACCCAAAAAACAATACCCCCACTGTCTTTTCTGTGCTCTGATTGGTTACTACCAGAAATAGCCCAT